AAGAAAGACCTTACTTGTCCTTGCTGGAGCATATAGGACCACTGCAACTAGTGAACTACAAGCTATCAAAGGAAAACAACCAATCTGACTCACCATCAAATCCATTGCATAGATCCAGCTTGCCTCACGTGACATCACCAACACTGCCATCAACCACCGTCTAGAGGTCAACTCAATGGAGGAAAACGTCAACATTGGGGACCTCCTACCTTCCTACTTGTGGCCCATTTTGGGGTGAACATCATTTCACAGACAATGAATTTTGTATATACACTGATGGATCAAAGTTAAACAACAAGGTGGAGTGTGCTTTTGTGGTGTTCAAAGATGGTGAAGAATTCTCATACCAGCAGTGTCACATGAATACTAGCTGCTCTGTTCTGCAGGCAAAGATGTGTGCTATCCACCAGATCTGGTGGATAGCATACATCTTTGCCTGCACACATCTTTTGCTGATCTGGTGCAATGACAATCTTAGCCATCATGATATCAACATATTCACTGACTCTGCCTCTTCTGTCTGTCTTATACAATACTTTAAATGTACCCAAAAGATTGTCAACAGTATTAATCATCTGGCTATTGTCATTATATATCATCTATCTGGCTATCATTGTTGGTACTATTCAATGATTGAACAGTACCAACAATTTTACTCCCTCTCCTGGATTAGAGGTCACCAGGGTCTGCTTGGAAATGACAGAGCAGATGTTCTGGCCAGGTAAGCTGCTATGGATTGTAAAGGTGTTTATGTCTACAATGCCATCTCAAAACAGAGTGCAAAAACCGTTTTCAGGAAGGAGAACAACAACACATGGAAAAGTGACTGGAGTAATTAGCAAACTGGTGCTTTCACATCCTTATTTTTCCCACGCATTCTCACCAACCTAAACCAGAAAATATGTTTCTACACCCATGAAGAAATCCAATTCTTAACTGGGTATGGGTCTTTTGCCAGCTACCTTAAAAGGTTCAAAATTCAGGATGAAGACAAATGCATCATCTGTAATATGGAGGATGAGCCACTGCACTACATCTATCAGTGCTCTGCATTGGAGAGCAACAGACTTAAAATCCAATTACTGACACAGCTGGCATCCCATAGCCTTACTCCCCCCTCAAATGAACAATAACATAACAATAACATTGAACAATAACATACTTCTAGAGGAGTTCCAGTGCCTCATCAAGAGTTACTTCAAGCATATAGGTAATAATAGAAGATTTTTCCATGTGCAGAGTGATTCTAACTGCTGAAATTATATTTATATGTATATGTAACTGGTATATTATGTCTATCACAGCTTTGTTATATAATATCTTTTTTGTTAGTTACTTTTATACCTTGCCTTAATTTCAATATGAAATAATCACTGTAATTTATGGCCAAAAATGTGTCATTTGAGCAGTACAAGAGGCTGCAAAGTTTTGCTACAGCACTGTGACATGTTGAGAATGCACATCTCTTTGAGAAATAAGTTTCGTTTATTGCTGATAATTGTTGATTGTGTACAATGTCACAGATATTCAAAGTAGCAGCAGCAACTTTATTACATAATGTGTGTGCCTCTTGATGATATTCTTCTGAACTCTTTGAAAGATAGCAGGAAATTCTATGATTTGTGCAGCTGCTAATAGTAATTCATTCTACAAGATCTGACTGCAGTGTAGTTTTGTACGAGGGTGAGTCAAAAAGTAAGTTTCAGTGATGTCAAAAATTCAAGTATGAAACATATAGGTCAAAAATGTTATTTGTGAAAATGTACAATCCAAGTGCTTGCAGTGGTTGGCAACATGGCACTTGACCACCTTCCCCAACCTATGTGACATCAGGACTGAGAGTTGAGTCGACGTGCTTCTGTTTGGATGTTCACCTCACTGCATGCTCCGACCACTGTTTCCAAGGTCAGTGTAATTGTGATTCTTTTATATAGTTCTGTAGAATAAACTCGTGACAATGACCATTGTTCTGGAATCATTCCTTTGACACGACAATGACACTACTCATGGACGTAATCAGACTGACTAACATAACCAATTTCCTTCTCAAGAGTATGCCTTAATGGCCTCCTCACTGATGACCCTAATGTGATCTCCATGATGTAGTAATTTGAACAACGTGATCTTTACGATGTAGGATCTGGAGAATGTGATTCCAGCAATGCCAACCATTTCATAACCTGAATCCCAGACTTCATCTACAGGAATCCAGGTAGGCCTCCCTTTTTTCTCTCCTTGCTGGTAAAGCAGCCTAACTAAGATGACAAAGCCCAAACCCACCGCAAAAGTGAACAGAGTGGCCCTCAGACTACCTCTATTTTGGGACAAGGCCCCAGAGTTGTGGTTTGCAAATATAGAAGCCCAGTTTGCCATCTTTGGTATCACAAAAGACTACCAAATACTACTCGGTCATCTCTGCTCTGAACTCCAACATTTTGAACTATGTGAGCGACATCATTCTCAATCCATCGGCCGAAAACCATTATAACATGCTTAAGGCCAGACTTTTTGCCGATTTCTCAGACTCAGAGCAGAGGCGAATCAAAGTGCTACTCTTGGACATCACATTGGGAGATGAAAAACCATCCCATTTACTGAGAAAAATGAGGCAATTAGCCAACAACAAATTGGGAGAAGATTTCCTAAAAACTTTATGGCTACAGCAACTACCACAACAGACTTAGGAGATCCTGGCAGCCTCCAATGACAGCTTAGAAAACTTAGCTACCATGGCTGACAAAATAGGTGAAGTAATATACGCGAGCATTAATGAAGTTCAAAATAATACCCAAAGTCAGTTAAGCGAGCTCCAGACACAGATAGAATCTTTAAGTCAGAGAACTGAATGACTAGCCTGCTCTCAAGACAAAGTTAGACGGGAAGACCATGCTGGCAGCGACGATCAAAGACACCTAAAAACTATGCTAGTAACCAATGTAGGTATCATCAGAAGTACAGGAGCAAGGCAAAATACTGCTGCACCCCATGCTCTTTTTGCCATTTGGAAAACCCTTAACGAAATCGCACAAAACGGCCCACTGCAATTTCAGACTGATAATAAGAGCCATTTATTCATCTTCGACCTCACTTCTAACTGTGAGTATCTGGTAGATAGCAGAAGTGATGTGTGTGTTTTGCCCTTCTCAAGGAATGGCATGTAAATGACCCCATGCTGTGAGGCTCTATTCAGCAAATGGTACACCAATATTAACATTTGGTACCAAGTTAGTCACGCTTGACCTTAATCTCCAGTTAGGAAATCCAACCTAACCACCACCTTAGTGGTGTATACCATTGTTAATTAATATAGGTTCTAAAAGTATTGAATGGGACAGACCTCAAATCATCCAAACAATATGGAATTGCCAATACATATGATATGCAGAAGAATTTCATGCTTATAAAGCAACTTGTATAGAACATTGTATCAATTATAAGCTTGGAGGTCGTTTTTTGTAAATGACACAAAGCCTTGCAACAGCTATGGCATGAACTGTTTGCATTATTTGATTTAATGGATATACGTTACTGTTTATAGATATTTTGTATTTAACTAATTTTAATGTTGGAAATAAAGCCAAGTGTTTATTTATAACTCTCATTTGAGNGTCGTTTATCCGAAAGCTGGTTATCCGAAACGTCTGTTATCCGAAAGCATTCCAGTCGGCAAATTTAAATTTTCGCTAGTGCTGTGGCGCTGCAATCTTCGACTATTTCTTTGGCTACTCAAATATTTTACGTTTTTGATACTAAATTAACATCTGAAGTATAATTTTTTTATTGTTTTTATATTTTTCAATATATTTATTTTGTTTGTACAAAATAAAAAAATAATTTTTAATGATACAATAGTCTACTAGAAAAAGGGTGTTAAAAATGTCCAAAAATGTTTTAGTTATTAAATTTTTACTGCTTTTTCAAGGTTATTTCAGTCTATTTTGTTTTAACTCTTGTACAATTAATAACAAAAACAGAAGTAAAAATGTCTGTAAGAAACCATCCCTTTTTTTATTAACAAGGAAAGTTCAATTTAATTCTGAAAATATATATAGAAAAAGGCTTGTATTTATTTAAAAATTTCTAGTAAGATGGACACAATTTAGGTAAGCAAATAAAAAATGTATTGCATGAATGCTATCAGCCCATAACTATTAATTAAATAATAGTCAACCTGGCCATGGCACCCCTGACCCCAAACTATGTGCCACAATGCACAGTTTGGAAACCAATGCTCTAGAACAATAGACATGTGTCAGAAGACATGTTCAAATTTCCTCTTAAACATTTGATAAAAATTTACACATTCCTATATGATGGGCTGGAGGAGTCCCTAAAAACATTTAATCCAATAAAAAGTNAATTTGTATCCTAGATTATTATTATCCAAACTACTATTGTGGCATTCCATTATATATTCTACTAGAAAAAGGGTGTTAAAAATGTCCAAAAATGTTTTAGTTATTAAATTTTTACTGCTTTTTCAAGGTTATTTCAGTCTATTTTGTTTTAACTCTTGTACAATTAATAACAAAAACAGAAGTAAAAATGTCTGTAAGAAACCATCCCTTTTTTTATTAACAAGGAAAGTTCAATTTAATTCTGAAAATATATATAGAAAAAGGCTTGTATTTATTTAAAAATTTCTAGTAAGATGGACACAATTTAGGTAAGCAAATAAAAAATGTATTGCATGAATGCTATCAGCCCATAACTATTAATTAAATAATAGCCAACCTGGCCATGGCACCCCTGACCCCAAACTATGTGCCACAATGCACAGTTTGGAAACCAATGCTCTAGAACAATAGACATGTGTCAGAAGACATGTTCAAATTTCCTCTTAAACATTTGACAGAAATTTACACATTCCTATATGATGGGGCTGGAGAAGTCCCTAAAAACATTTAATCCAATAAAAAATTTGGCTCTTTTAATCAATGCTAATATTAATACACAATAGTAAATAATAAATAAATACAAATATAAATAGTATAACATACCTGAAAAACAAGACTGGGCATTGGAGTAAAATAATTAATGCTAATCATTGCAAGAGAACGTGGAAGATGTCCTTGCCGAGCACCAACAAAAAATAATCTAAAAATTGCAGTAGGATTAAAGAAACAGAAAAGTGTTTCAGTAAATTTTACTTATTTTAAGCAATAAAGTAAAATAAATCTTATATTAGTTCATAATCATAACAATTTGATCAGAAAATTTTAAATATTTATAACATTATAATTTACAACAAACTTCTTTTTATCTGTAAAAATGTTTTATGGCATAACTTAATAGGTAAAAAGAAATGGGAACTCATTATCTTATTCTCCCAGAAAAATCAACTTGGAAGTACAGTGGAACCCCGGTTAACGAACGTCCTGGTTAACAAACTTTTATTTTGCAAAAATTTTGTCTCAGATAACGAACAAAATTCGGATAACGAACGTTATGGTATTTTGTGTCAAATTTTAGTTGGTGTTTGGATGCGTGAGTTAAGCATTGCTTTTCCGAGTGTTTGTGCTATACTTTTTTTTTCAGTTTTGTGATTTATATATTTAATCAATATGGCATCCAAGAAAGAAAAAAGTCATAGTGGCAATAGAAAATGACAATGCGCTATCGCATTTGAGAACAATTTTGATTAGAAGAGTAAGACAATTAACTTTAGATCAATTTCTTGTTCCTTACAGAAAGAGTTTGTCAAGTTATGGCAACGCAACACTTTGGAGATCTGCCTAGGGGGAATGCCTTCTGGGAGGTGTTTTTAAGTGAAACTGGCCCTATTTAGGCGTTACAGACGTGGAGAAAACCCGGAAAACTTCACGTGGCCAGCCTGTCTGAGCGAACCCACGAACGAACTCCCCATGTTCAAGGTACGAAGACCACTTAGCCGCTGGTGGGTTTTTTTACCCACCAGCGGCTAAGCGGCTAAGACTTCGACTCGAGGAATCTTCCGATGAAGTGCTACCCATTATTTTTTGGAGGAGGTCCCCCTTCTAAGCATTAAGGTTCATATATCTACACTTTTCTGCCACCAACTACAACAAACAAAGGTATGTACAGTGTTATTTTATTAAACAAAGTTTACATGTTTGCTGCTGTAATGATAGATACTACGTTTTCCTACATTTTCATCAAAGAAAATTACTGTATATTATAAATAAAATCACAAAACTTTCGGAGACTAGAACGGATTAATTGCATTTTCATTAATTTCTATGGAAAAAATTGCTTCGGATAACGAACAATTCAGTTAACGAACGGAGTCGCGGAACGGATTAAGTTCGTTAACCGGGGTTCCACTGTACTATAAAAAGCAATTAGTCCTTAGGAATACATCACCACCAACACTATCCGTGGGATTTTTTCTGGTAGGGGAGGATGCTGTAATGCCTCCTTGGTTGACAGACAACAAAATGCTCGTGAAATTGAAATGTGGAAAGTCAGATTGTTAAAAATATGTGGAAAACTAGAAATAAAAATAAATGGAATAGAAATTGATGCTCTTGGTTTAAGTCAAGTGAAAGAGCCAAACACATGAACCTTCTGAAGTGGAAACTGAATAAATCCAACTCTTATTGTCCTTTCATAGCATCTTAAATACAAATTTCTATTAAACATGTATTCAGAATGTCAAGAAGGATCAAGAAGAGTTGTATTTATTCTCAAGAAAAAGCTTGGACTAATAATTATAAGTACAGTACATGGACATATAGTGAGAACAACAATCATAATTGAGGCTAAGCCTAGAAATATGGTGCTGGTTCAGATCTACTATACAAGCCTAATTCAATCTACACCAATGAACAGATTAAAGATATGAACAAACAGAGTGCCTTTATGAGGATCAATGAGGATGATAATTTGATTATTCTGGGGACTAGAATGTAGTTGTTGGAGAGAATGAAGAAAATAAAACAATTTGAAAGTTTAGACTTGGCTCAAGAAACAAAAGTGAGAGAGAATTGTGGAACTCTGTCAAAGCCATAGGCTATCATTGCATATACAGTAGAGCGTCGTTTATCCAAAAGTCAATTATCCAAAACATCAATTATCTGAAAGAATTCCAGTCGGCAAATTTAAATTTTTGCCAGTGCTGTGATGCTGCAATCTTTGGCTATGTCTTGGGCTACTCAAATATTTTACGTTTTTGATACTAAATTAACTTCTGAAGTATAATTTTTTTATTGTTTTTATATTTTTCAATATATTTATTTTGTTTGTACAAAATAAAAAAATAATTTTTAACGATACAATAGTCTTCGTTAGGCTTAACATCGACGAAAATTCAACGCGAAGCGACACGCAATGGAGAAAAATGTCAAGATGGGATAAATTACTATATTTTTTTGTACATAACCGGTTATCCGAAACATCGATCTTCCGAACAACCCCAGTCCCCAATTGATTCGGATAATCGA